TCTGCAGCTTATGTGCAGCCCTGAGCTGGAACCACCTGTCCATTGGAAGAATCATATGTGCCTCCTTTTTGTCTGTCCTTATGTTCCAGCTTTGCCCCACATCTCCTTTCCTTTTTTCTTAATCTGATTACTTGTTTGCTGGTTCTTTGGCCTTTCTCCTTCTCTCCTGAACACAGCCTTTTCTAGAATCTCCCTACCCTACTGTTCCAGGAAGGGCACCTCCCTTTTCTGCCGTGACTGGGGGTGTTTGGTATATGCCCCATACGTGAAGTTGTCTTGTGCCAAGAGCCTGACATCCTGGGCTGAGAAAACCCTGTCCCGGGACTCTCCTTTGTCCTATATTGGCCCCTCTTGCCCTTGTGTCAAGAGGGACCCTCTTCTCACAATCCAATTGCCCACAGCTGTTGCCTGAGTTCTCTGTTAAAGCTGAGGTCATGGTGGCTGGTACCATGGATCTGTCTCTCGCCCAATGGAGTGAGCTGGGTCCTCTCTGGAGAAGAAACCTGGGTTCCCCAAGATATGTGATCAATGCCGGGACCCCGCCAGCAGGCGAGGGGATCCAAAGGCAGTTGCTGGGCATGGAGGCCAGAGGGACATAGACTACCAAGGAGACAGAACTGAACCTCACATCACCCTGCTTGGCCCCGGAGGATGGCTGGTTAGTCAAAGACGGGTAAGATTCCTCAGGGAGGAACAACCTAAGACAGGCACAGTCGCAGAGGGGCCAGCAGAAGAGAACTTGGGGGTCAACAGAGGTGGGGCACAGATCCTCACCCCCCCAATGGTGCAGGGGCTTGAACACTCGCCCCTTCTGAGGAAGGTCTCCTTCCCCCATGGCTGCTTCTCGCTTCCCATGTCCAGCCCAGATAGGAACCCAGGTAACAGAAAGAGACTTGGCCCAGCTCAGATCGGGAACAGAAAGAGACTTGGTCCAGCTGAGATCAGTACCTAGATAAGAGACCTGGCTGACAGCAGCTTCCCTTTCACTGCAACAGGACTTGTTTCCCATTTCTACCTTGGACCACAGGGAAAGGGGCAGCTGAAAGAAAGGGCTGGAGCAGGATGCTGCCTTCTTCCCTTTCTTCTTCCTCTTTTTTCTAAACACTTCCATGCCTTGTAGTTCTTTTGCTTTCTCTTCTTTTTCTCTACTACCCTCCATCTCCGCCTCATCCTCCTCCTCCCCAGTATCATCCTATCAGCTGACTTAGAGGGCACAGCTGACTCCTCCCCGGACACTGACACCACCATCAAACGCGGCCCTGATGGACCCTTTGATCCAGCCGTACAACACACTGACACTTCGGGAAGCCCGCTGCCAGCAACGACGCCCGCTAGCCAGATCAACAAGGACAACTAAACCACCGACGTGGGGTCAGCTGAAGAAGTTAACAACTGATGGTAGAAAAGCAAGAAGTGGAAGCTATTCTCTCAGCCAAGTCAGAGGACTCTGAGTAAATTGGCAAAAGAGACTTTCATTTGGTAGAAAAATGTTACTGTGGTTTGATTTTTCACTTATTGCTGTTTTGCATTGCCATTGTTTTATTATTCTTACTAGTTTCAAAAATGTTATGTTCAAATTTTAAAATGTTTTGGGTTTTGCATTGGCATTGTTTTGTTATTGTTTTAATAGCCAGAGTTTTGTTCTTGATGCTTAAGTTTGATGCTTAAATTTTACCGTTATTATGGTAGCTTAAAAAATAAAAGAAGGGTGAGATGTGGGAAGCTGATATAGGGTTAAGCCTCGGACTGTCCTGTGGGCAAAGTCAAAAACAATTCCCAGCTTAGAGGGCACAGTCCTCTTAGCATAATTAGGCTTGACCTTATGAGGCTCTCTAGATCTTATCTGGGAAGCTAATGGGCTGAGGGAAGTGCAGGAAGTGTAACTATGGTCAAAACAAGTGAAACTCACAAGAACTGTGTAACTATAGAAACCACTACCTTGTTTACCTCTCACTATAAAATAAAGGCTCAGCTTACCTTGGGATCTTTTCTCTGTGGCCTCAGCCAGGCACAGGAAGATCCACGGAGGCTAAGGAAAGCTAGAGAGTTCTGAACGCTGTCTCCGTGTAAAACCTTCTTCGCCGACTCCGTCCACACCTTTGGGACCCCCTGGACCCGCTGGGGCTGGACCCCAGCATTTATCCAGTGTTTCTATGCTGTGTATTTGCTACCTACCCATTAGTCCTTCAGTACCCATCGGCCCCAAGTATCAGAGTAGTGATGTGGGCAATTCTGGATATGCCAAAAAGAACTGGAAAGGGCTTCATTAAGTGAAAAGGTGGTATAGTACCATAAGCTATTTTGAGAGAGACCACATTCACATACTTTATTATCAAAGTATATTGTTATAATTGTTCTATTGTATTATTAACCTCTTACTGTGCCTAACTTAGAAATTAAACTTTATCATAGGTACATATGTACAGATAAAGTCCCCTATGGAACCTCTTCCATAGTAAGCATCCATTGGTTGGATTTGTGAACAGACCCAACTTACAGTTCCCAAACAGGTAAGTCACTTACCGTTGCTGCCTCCTCCAGGGCCTGCTTGTTTCCTCCAAGGGCTTGAAAAAGAACATTTTGTTCAGTTACTATCAGTTTAATCATAAATCATCTTCCCATGCTGAGTTACCTTTCTAAAACAGGACCAGAGTAAGCCCTCGCTCCAATAACTCGAGGACCTTCATAATCTAGTCTAATCTTTCTCCAAGCTTGACTTGTCCCCCTCATGACCTGGTCTATGTTCTACCAAACTAAAAAGTTCCTGTGAGTTCCCAAATATGCCACTGTTTTCTGAGACTCAGTGCCCTGGAATTTATTATTTCCTGTGCCCAAAATATTCCTCTCACCCAACAAATTTCTAACTCATCCTCAGAAACTGAGATCAAACCCAAAACTCTGCTTATTTGTCTATGACAGCAGATGGCTGCTAAGTGCTGTGTTAGTTGTTCATCCTCACCCTACCCAACAACCACTCAAAGCAGTTTAAGTCTTTTCTCTCCACCCCCTGGGTCTTGAACTGAATTCCTTGAGGACACAGATAATATCCAGAGTTTCTGGCAAAATGTGCCACACAGTAGGTATGTAGTTAATGTGTGTTGAATGAAGAGGTCTGTGCAAGGTTAGATGTAGAATAAAAAGTCAGGTTAGGTCTTCCTGATAGAAACTCTGACGGTATCCTGTATGACGGTTAAGAACTTAGGCTTTGGGACCAGAATATGCCCACATTCAAATAAACTCTGCCACTAACCAGCTCATGAGAGCTTGAGCAAAGCAACCAATCTTTCTGTGCCTTAATCTTGTCATCTATAAAATAGGGGTAATTTTAATAACACATCTTTTAGAGGCTAAAATTAGTTAAGACAGCGAGTCCTTGAAAAACATAGCTTTAATTCGACATCGCTTCATTGAGACTGATACATGTTCAACGAATATTTGTAGAAATGTGCAAACAAATGGATTAATAAATAAAAGGGTGAGCCAAAAGGATCATTAAATGTCTACTATTCAAGAAAACCATGCATTTCTATCTCAGGAGGAGGCTACATACTGGGTAATTAATAATAACCCTGTGGCCCTAACCGGTTTGGCTCAGTGGATAGAGCGACGGCCTGCAGACTGAAAGGTCCCAGGTTCGATTCCGGTCAAGGGCATGTACCTTGATTGCGGGCACATCCCCAGTAAGGGAGTGTGCAGGAGGCAGCTGGTCGATGTTTCTAACTCTCTATCCCTCTCCCTTCCTCTATGTAAAAAATCAATTAAATATATTTAAAAATAAATAATAACCATCTGGCCCAGAAGGCCTTAAGATATTATATGGTCTTTTAGAGAAAACATTTGACTACCTGCAGGGGTAGATGATGGTAAGTGCTAAGGAGATTAAAACAAAAAAAAAGCAGGGAAATGAGATGGGGAGTGAGAGGAAGCATTAAATCTGCGGCTTTTTTTTTTTTTTAAATCCTCACCCCAGGATATTTTTTCCATTGATTTTTAGAGAGAGTGGAAGGGAGGGAAGGAGGCGGGGGAGAGAGAAAGAAACACTGATGTAAGAGAGAGACATGGATTGGTCCCACCCCACCCCGTGCACAGGCTGACGCTTGAACCTCGGAGCCACCGGCGGGGCACACCTGCTTCCTGCCGCGATCTCGGAGGACCTAACTAGGGGAAGGTTGGTGGGTGAGCAGCGGGCTCCAGGGCGGAGCCGGGGACCCTCCGCGGCGCTTACCGAAGTAGTCGAGGCAGTTCATCTCGCGCAGCGCCTTGGGGAGCCGCAGGATCTCGATGTTGTACAAGTTATCCATCTCCTTGAGGATGTTCAGCCCGTCTGACAGAATTTGCTTGGATCGTATTTGCACTGCGACAGAGCAAAGTCGACAGAACCGGGGTCCCCGGTGGGTGAAGGGAGCCTGGAACCCGTGCTGCCCGCGCGCGGCCCATCCGCCAGCACCCCGCGATCGCCCCGTAGCCGCCACGACCCGGGCTCGGCCCTTACCTTCACGGTCGAAGTCCTTAAGAAAGGAGGCGAGCTTCCGGTCCCGTAACAAGTTGGTCTTGGTCACCCGACGGCTGCCCTTCCTAGCCGGGGCCATGGCGCCTCAGTGGCGGCTGCGGGGAGCGGGGAACCGAGCCCCAAGGGGTTAGAGGCGGAGGCTGGGTAGGGAAAGTGGGGGGCCGCGAAGGCGCGGGAGAGGGGGGACGCGCGCCCGAAAGGGTTCGTGGAGGGGGCTGACCTTCGGGGCCTGAGCGTAAAGCAGTCGGGAGGAACGTACCTGCGGATCCCAAAACAAGGGGAAACCTCGCCGCTCAAGCAGCAGGGGAGCGGCTCTGGGGCTACCGAGACGTGCGACCGCCGTCACGAAATTCAAACTGCCACAGGCTGACGAATGAGAAGTCGCCGTCTTAGAAGGCGGGTCCACGACACCCAATCACAAAGAAGCTCCGTGTCGGCCGCCGGCTCACGCGTAGGACTACAGTCCCCAGAAAGCATTGCGGCATTACGACATTTTCGCGACTTAACTGCTTAGCGGACCCTGCACAGAGAAACTGCGGCCGTAGGCCAGCGGCTTCGGCGGTTCCTTAGAATTGGACGGCCGCTGAAGCGACCGGCCGACCGAAGAGCAAGAGACGAGATTCCGGAAGCACAACAGGTCTGGCGCTGGGGCGGCCGGGGTTGGGCTCTACCGGAAACTCACCTGAGGACGGAAATACTCCCATCCCTGAGCTGGTACTTCCCCTACCGACTTGGGACCCGAATGCTGTTTTTTCCCCCCGCAACAGATGACTCAGGACGAGCCTTTGCTGGCGGTGCAGGCGGCCCTGAAGAAGTGCTTTCCTGTGGTGGAGGAGCAGCAGCGCCTGTGGCGGAGCAGCCTGAGCGACTGCCCGCCGCTCCTGGCCTCCCTCGGCAACCTGGCCGAGCAGCTGCAGGCGGCGCAGAACCTGCGCTTTGAGGACGTGCCGGCGCTGCGGGCCTTCCCGGGTTTGCAGGAGCGGCTGAGGCGCAAGCAGCTGGAGGCGGGAGACGCGGTCCTGGACCAGCTCGGAGAGCGGCTGTAAGGGAGGAGGCTGCTCCGAGCTCGTGGCGGAGGGATGTTGGGACCGGGTGTGCCATAGTCGCTGGGCTGCGCCGGGAAGGTGCTTCCTTCCTTACCGAGAGCCTGGCCTTGGAGGTGCCGCAGCCTTGCCTGCTTGGCCTCTGCTGCGGGGGCCCTCGGTCAGAAAACCATCTTCTGGCATTTATTTCCCTGGTCAGCGGCCAGGTGTGGCCGCGGTGGACTTAGGAGAAGTTTGAAAAGTAAAATAGAGAAGCAGTGGAGGACGCTTCTTAGCTCCCTTCTGTAGTTTTCTTTGGTAAAAAGCAACGAGGGACTGCGGTGGACCCTAGAACAACGCTTGGGGTTAGGGGTGACCTCCAGCGCCATGGAAAATCTCCGTAGAACTACCGTTGGCCCTCCCCATCCATGGATTCCCGCTGCAGAGTTAGCCCTTGAACAGCGCAGGTGGGAGCTGTGCTGGTCAATTGAAAAAAAACATCCCCATATAAGTAGACCTGCACGATTAAAGCCCATATTGCTTAAGAGTCAGTTGTATGTTGTGAACTCGGAGGGTGTCAAAGCTGAGGGTGTTACATACATGGCTGCATAAAATCTCAGCACGTCTGTGCCTTAACCTCATTTAATCCCATTTTGCAGGTGAGGAAACTGAGGCTCAAACAGATGGCCTCTGGTCTCACAGCTGGTAAATAGCAAAGCTGGGGTTCTCACCCAAGTGTGCCTGAACCCCTACTTCGTTCTGCTGCACATCGGTGTCTCTGCACCAACTGTCAGCCCTTATTATGCCTAATGTTAGACGCTACCTTAGTTACAGGTTATGCGGGTAGAGAAAAGACAGGGCAGGGCGCATGTGGCCTTTTCTTGACCAGAACAGAAGATGGGTCTAGTAGTGTATGGAGTATATGCCATAGACCAGTGGTTCTCAACCTTCCTAATGCCGCGACCCTTTTATACAGTTCTTCATGTTGTGGTGACCCCCAATTTCATTGTTACAAATTGAACATAATTAAAGTATAGTGATTAATCACAAAAACAATATGTAATTATATATGTGTTTTCCGGTGGTCTTAGGCGACCCCTGTGAAAGGGTCGTTCTACCCCCAAAGGGGTCGCGACCCACAGGTTGAGAACCGCTGCCATAGACCAATATGGAACTGTCGAAAATGGGCACCTTCTTTGTATTCATTTGTACAAAATACATTTATTAATACACAAAGTTCTTGGCATCCCACTGGTGCTTAATAAATGTAAATTAAATCCGGTACAACAATGAACAGGGTTTAATTCCTTTGTTGAGTAGAAGAGGTAGTCAGTTAAATATTATGTCATGGTCTATTCTAAGAGAATGAATTTTTTTTTAATATATTTTATTGATTTTTTTCAGAGAGGAAGGGAGAGAGATAGAGAGTTAGAAACATCGATGAGAGAGAAACATCGATCAGCTACCTCCTGCACATCTCCTACTGGGGATGTGCCCGCAACCCAGGTACATGCCCTTGACCGGAATCGAACCCAGGACCCTTCAGTCCGCAGGCTGATGCTCTACCCACTGAGCCAAACCGGTTTCGGCAAGAATGAATTTTTATTTTAATTGTTTGCATATGTGCATGTGGATATCAGGCTGTTGTTTTAAGTATACATTAAAATTATGGGTCATGGTCAAACTTTTTTGAAAGCCACCACTCCAAGCTAAGGAACGCCTTGCCCCTTGGGAAGTTGTAAACATTGCCTTGGTGGCTGGGCCCCTTGGAGTCACCAATGGAGTAATAACAATATTTACCACAAGCCGGGAACTTCTCTCAGCATTTTATGTGCATTATTGCATTTAATCTTCACAATAACCCTTTTTATTCTTCAACAAGTGCTTGTTCTATGGCCAGTCTCAGTGTTCTAGGTACTTAGAATGCGCAGTGAGCAAAACAGACTAGCTTTATATGAGAGAGAAAAAGAAACTTTCCTAAGTCCACATTAGTCTGTGTGCACTGCAAGCCTAAACTTTCACCATTCAAGAATTTACTAGGATGGGGCTGGGTGACATATGGATAGTACTGGTTTGTTGCTTCAGTTGCCTCTTACTCCCTTTTCACATTCAAGTGTGAGCAGTTGCTTTTCTTTACAGCTTTATGGCAGCCTCAGACAGGCCCCTTGGTCATTACTTTCTTTGAGAGCCATGTAACTTACGTATCTTCTCCGTCTTTAAGTAAATTCTTAATTCTTGAGCCACCCCTACCTCCAAGGCACCGTCACCAATCTCCTTCACAAGTGGGCGTCATTTGGAGGTAGTTTTTTATTGGGACATTTGGCAATACCTGGAGACATTATTGATTGTCACAGCTTGGAGAGCGTGGGAGCATGGTTTGGTCCTGCTGTCCAGTGGGTAGAGGCCAGGGATGATGCTAAACATCCTACAGGGCACAGGGCAGCTCCACCACAAAGAATCATGTGGTCAAAAATGTCTGTGCCAACGGCGAGGAACTCTGTCTTCTGCCTTTTTCATGATAATGCCTAATACTAGACCCTTTCCCCCAGAGCTGCCCTCCTCAACGTGCGTGACACTGTCAGCAGCCACGTGGGACAAGTGCTTCAGATCTATGAGCAGCATGCAGACGCAATCGGCATTGACGCTGTCCTGCAGGCTTCGGCGGCGAGCCCCTCTGTGGCTGACATGTTGGAATGGCTGCAAGATATTGAGAGACATTATCAAAGTTCGTATCCTTTGCACACATTTCAAATAGTATCAGGGCTGTTGCAGGAAGTCTTTTTTTCTTTCTTTCTTTTTAATCCTTACCCGAGGTTAATTTTTCTTTGTTTGTTTGTTTGTTTGTTTATTTATTTATTTATTTATTTATTTTCCCCGTTGATTTTTAGAGACAGGGAAAGACAGAAATATCGATGTGAGAGAAACACATCGATTGGTTGCCTCCTGCATAAGCCCCAACCAGGGCCTGGGCTGGGGAGGAGCCTGCAACAGAGGTACGTGCCTTTGACCGGAATTGAACCCGGGACTCTTCGGTCCGCAGGCTGATGCTCTATCCACTGAGCCAAACCAGCTAGGGCCCAGGAAGTCTTTTAATTTCATTTACCACAGGATTACAACATTGTATAGTATGGGTCAGTTCTCTTTGGTTCCTGAACTTGGGTTCTTCCTACAATTATTTCAACTCATTTATTGAGTAGCTACTACCTGCCAGGCATTTTTCTAGTTTCTGGACGTTAAAAAAGGAAAACATATAGAATGTCAGATGGTGATAAGTGCTATAGAGAGAAATAAAGCAGAGAGAGTGAGGGGTGAGGGTGAGGTGGTGATTTTAAGTAGGGTGGGCAGGGCAGGCCTCACTGAGAAAGTGACATCTGAGAGAAGCCATCAGTGCAAAGGCCCTGAAGTGAGAGCGTGCCTGAATGTTCAGGAAATGGCAAGGAAGCCAGTGTGGTGAGAGCAGAGTAAAGACGGGAAGCCTAACAGGAGCGGGGCTGGATCTTGCAGGGCCTTGAGGTCTCTGACAGGATTTTGGCTTTCACTTTGAATGAGATGGAAAGCTATGCGAAGGTTTTTACATAAGCAAACCTGTTTTTAACAAAACCACCCTGGCTTTGCCCTAACCGGTTTGGCTCAGTGGATAGAGCGTCAGCCTGCGGACTCAAGGGTCCTGGGTTCGATTCCGGTCAAGGGCATGTACCTTGGTTGCAGGCACTTCCCCAATAGGGGGTATGCAGGGGGCAGCTGATCGATGTTTCTCTCTCATCAATGTTTCTAACTCTCTATCCCTCACCCTTCCTCTCTGTAAAAAATCAATAAAATATATTAAAAAAAAACACCACCCTGGCTTTGCTCTGAGGAAGGCTTGGATGGTGTGGGGCAAGTGTAGAAGCGGAAAGATCATTTATTGGATGGCCTTTTTCTCTCGATTCTCGCCTGATCCACTGGCTTCAATGTCTACCTTCATTTGAGTAACTCCCACATCCAAGCTTTCTTTAGATGCCTCCAACTGCATTGCTTATGGACCTGCACACTCAGGTTTAGAATGGAACTCCTCTGTCTAGCCCTCACATTCTATTTCCTTTTCCTTTAGTTGTAGACTCAACCGTGTATAATCACCCACTCTGAAGACTTAAGCAGTATCTTCCCCCTTTCCCTGTTTTCTTTTTTAATTGCAGCAGCAGCATGGGCAGTAGGAGCTGCAGCTGTAGCTAACATTACTGAGCACCTATTATGTGCCAGGTACTGCTCTGAGCATGTTTACACAGCCACCTGTCAAATCCTTTTAATTTGTTTCCCTGGTGTGTTTTATATATTGTTTCTCTATCCGCATTGCCTCTTCCGTGGTTTCTTACCTCTCACTTGGACTTTTAATCACATGCAGCCTCTTGCTTCTATCTCTGGCTTCTTTCCCTGTAAGCCATCCCCAATGAGTGACCTCACCCCACCTTTCTTCAGGAGGTCGAGTTCTGATCCTATTGCTTTTACAGGAGTTTTTAGTAGCTTCTGTTGGGAGGCGGACAAAATGCAGAATCCCCACGCTGGGCTGCAATGCTCTTTGTGTTCTGGCTCAACCGCATTTTCTCCTACTGGACACAGTTCCATGCCAGCCACACTGGAAGGTTTACTTGTCCCTGAGTCCGTCCCAGACGACCCCACTATCGTGCCTTTGCGTGTGCTTTTCCTGCCAGCTGGAGTCTTCCTGGTGCCCTCTGAACTGGACGATTCATCCTCGGCACTCCTCTGGCTTTTACCTCATATGTCACTTAGATTCTTTCTCCTCACTTTCTGGTGTTTGCAGCCCGTGGCGAGGTCCTGGACTGCAGGGCAGTGTTCCACTCCTCTGTCCCTGAGCGCAGAGCCACGGGAGTGAAGAGGTGCCCGTGAAGCTCGGTACCGTGGGCCTGTCCTGCAAGTGGGAAATTTCATGATAGCTGCACTTTCACTTCTGTGCTCTCTCTAGCTCTCTCCGGGGTATTTTCCTCCTTCAATATATTTCCTTTTCTTTTTGAGCGATCCTTAACTTCCAGGAAGGTACCTGAAGAGAAAGTACCTCCTGTCCTCAATCGATTGGGGAGACTTGGCAGGAATCCAAGCTTTGCCCACAGCCTGGGACCGGATTTCGGAAGATGAACACCAAGACTTGGTACCAGGTACTGGTTGGCTTATTCCTGCATGTCTCCCTCTCCTCGGTTCGTCCCTGTGTCTCGCTTCCTTGGGAGGATTGCAGAGGTGCCCTCTCAGTGCCCCTGTCTCTGCTGTCCACCTGGAGAGGTGGTATGTCACCGTTCTCTTTCCTATTCCAGACATCCTACTGAACGTTTCCTTCTCCCTGGAAGAGTGAGGAAGCCATGTGCTTCTCTGGAGATCAGAGGGACACAGTTGAAGACCAGCAGTGCCACACTCTGCTGTTTCTTAAGAAATATCGATATTGCCCTGACCGGTTTGGCTCAGTGGATAGAGCGTCAGCCTGCGGACTGAAGGGTCCCAGGTTCGATTCCGGTCAAGGGCATGTACATTGGTTGCGGGCACATCCTCAGTAGGCGGTGTGCAGGAGGCAGCTGATCGATGTTTCTATCTCACCGATGTTTCTAACTCTCTATTCCTCTCCCTTCCTCTCTGTGAAAAATCAATAAAATAAATTTTAAAAAAATTAAAAAAAAAAAAAGAAATATCGATATTGTGACCGGGCTTATTTGAAAAATGGCCTACAGCCTAAGGACTGGCACTTGGGAGAATTGTTGGGGCTTCTCCCTGCCAGGTCACGGCTGAGGGTACCTGGGCCACACCTTGCTCTTTCCTAAGGCTCAGGGGAGTGGGTGGAGGCAGAGAGATGCAGGAGAGGCACTGAAGAACACCCAGGACAGAAGCAGCAGCCACAGAAGCAGTAAGGAAGGAAGGACAGAGAGAGTGACACCGCGATTGGCATCATCCAAAGCTCTGAGCCTGGTTGGCACCAAGTCCTGGTTTGGTGTATTTGTGTCCGTACCTGATTCTTTGAAGAATGAGAAAGTGACTTTGATGATTTAAAGAAATAAGGTGGTATGTCACGGTTCTCTTTCCTATTCCAGACATCCTACTGAATGTTTCCTTCTCCCTGGAAGAGTGAGGAAGCCATGTGCTTATCTGGAGATCAGAGGGACACAGTTGAAGATCAGCAGTGCCGCACTCTGGTCTTCTATCATGTTGATAGAAAACAGTAATTGTTTTCCAAGAGCAATATACTAGTAGCTCCTTATCAAGCCAGTTTCAATTCCCAGAGCCTACCACCAGAGGGAGGTGGTGCAGCATGAATGATTCTGAATGCTGTCCTCTGTTGCTTACCATGTGAGAGTAAGTACATAGGTTACATCTCCTATGGCGCCATGCAACGCGATTTTGTCGCCGTCGGAACCCACCTACATAAGCACCTACGTCACTCACATGGAGCACATACACAGCAGTAATGAAGTGAAACAGTAAAAATTTAAAAGATAACAATTCCTGACCTTTACTTGTGGTAAATAAATAATAAAAAACATAAAGCACATATGTACATAAGTCGAAATGATGGAACTTTTTTTTTAAATAAATAAATGGGAGATGGCGACATAACCACGAAACGACGTACGTGGAGTCCCATGTAACCCGAGGACTGCCTGTAACGGGATAGTGGGACTCCTAAAATGATGGGTTTTATGACCAATGCTGGCAACTGACTTGCCACATTCCTCTGATCTTGGAATAGCTGCAGAGGTGGGGGAACCCCAGCCCAGAGTCAGTGATCAGGTCTTGTGATGTGTTTAGTGACAGAGATGAAAAAGAGCCTGAGAAAGGTTTACAGCTCAACCAGGGAAAGACCCAAATCAGTGTTTCTCAAGCTTTAATGTGCATATAAGTCCCTGGTGTCTTGTTAACATTTAGATTTTGATTCTGAGTTCAGGGGTGAGGTTCTAGATTCTGGATTTCTAATGAGGTTCCAGGTAATGTTGATGCTGATGATCCAGGGACAAGACTGAGTGGAAGAGATTTAAATTGTAATACAATAATAAAAGTGTTGTGTCGGAGGTAAAAACAGAATGCTGTGGGAGAAGAGAGGCGATAGCTCACTGGTGAGAAGACTTCATAGTGACAGCTCAGTTGGGCTTGAGGCTCATCTTACCTGGGGCTAGGAGAGGACTGAGGGCATTCCATGTACAGGGACGGGCTAAGCCAAGTGCTGTGTGCCAGGTGGTGTGCTTGTTGCTTTATACAAAATACATGTTGATTGAAAAGTTCTCCCCCAGTTACTCAGTCCCTTTCCTCGAGGCAGCCAGTGTTTAATGATTCTGGCATATCCTTCCAAAAATACTCTGCTTATATGAGTGCATGGTGGGCAACCTCTAAGACAGCCCGGAACAATCTCACGCCCGTGTACATCTCTTTCCCATCAGTTTGGGCTGGACTTACAGGTTTGCTTCTAGGGAATAGAATACTGCAGACATGGTGGGATGCCACTTCTGAAACTAAATTATGAAAAAGACTACACCTTCCGTCTTGGGCGATGTCTCCCACTCTCTTGGATCACTCATCCTGGGGAAAGTCAGCTGCAATGCTGCGGGTAACCTGTGGAGAGCCCGGTGAGAGACTGGAGCCTGCCAGCAACCACCGGAGGGAGCTTGGAAGCAGATTTTCTCCTTCAGGTGAGACCACAGCCCCCGCTAACTGACTACAGCCTCATGAGGACCTACGCCAGAGGCAAGCCACTAAGCTGTGCCCAGATGCCTGACCCATGGAAACAGATAATAAAGGTCTCAAGTCATTATGTTTTGGGTTCCACAGCAATTGTTAACGAATACAACAAGCAAATATGTTTATGTGTCTTCTCCATAATTTTACACAAATAGTAAAATACAGATCCAGTTTTGTGCCTTGTTTTTTCTAAAGCAGTTGCAGAGTTTTCTGTTGTGTGGGCTTACCATAATTTATTTCACTAGCCCCTGACTCGTGGGCGAGTAGGCTGTCTGTAGTCTCAATGTCGGTTAGGTATCAGCAGCCCTCCCTCCACTCCCACCCCTGCTCGGGATGCTTTTTTTTCAATTAGCTGGTCCCATCCCACCCACTCAGCCCCAACAAAAAAGAATTCTGTTGGTATTTTTACTGGAATCCTATTACATTTAGAAACTGATTTAGGGAGAATCACCATAGCGGGAGTCCTAACACTCCTCCAGCCGTGCCGCTGGCTTTGGGTTGAGATAGCAAATGTGAGTTCTTTGCTGTTTCCCTCAGTTGGGAAAATCGGCTCTGAGTTCAGAACGCATTCCCTGTCAGTGAGACAGTCTGTTGGGATGACATGAATTCAGGTTTCTTTCCTTCCTGTCTCTACCCCATCCCCATTTAGACATCAACCTCAGGACTGTTCTCTCAGGCAGAGGAGGGGTTTTTCAAAGTCAGCGGGATCCTCGCTCAGAGGAGGACTTCTCCCTGCCCCAGGAGAGTCCAGGCTTTATAGTGATTGTATCATGTTTGATTTTAATCTGGATGATAGGGGCTAGGAACCATCTGCGACTTGTTCAAGCATTAGGTGTTAATAATTCCTTCTTTCCACGGGGGAGCAGGCTCAGGGGTGAGGGTGCGTTGATAATCAGCTCGGGGAAGGCTTGCTGAATTGCAGGTGACCCAGACCTGGGTTCAAGTCTCAGCGCAGGTGACCTGGGGTGAGTCATTTCCCCTCCAAGTTTCGGTTTCTTCATCTGTATAATGGAGATGATGATATACGTCCTCACAGGGTTGTACGTTTTAAGTGAGAGGAGGTATGTGAGGGCTTTTGGTAAATTATAAACATTTAAGGGGTTGAAATTCACTTGGGATTTATTGGTCACGTACCAAGTGCATAGCTCTGCTGTGGAGCCGGTATGCTTGCGAGACGGTGTTTTCTGAGTGCGCATAGCTTGTCGGTGACTTGCCAGAATTTGCACCAGGGTTTTGTTGGTTCTGGTGAGAGGGGTCTTTCCCTTGCACCACTGTTTCCTCCTTGCCACAGAGGCAAAAGCATCCCTGACACCTCCTCAGCGGGGACAAGTGTTGAGTTTCCCGAACACCCAGCCCTGCACGGGACATGGTTCCTCCAAACAGCAGAGGTAAGGGCAGCGCTGCCCCGTCTGGCGTGCCAGTGGCACAGGGCATCCAAGGCGCTGGGCAGCTGCAACCTTGCCAGTTACCCTCCCTTCTGGTCCCCCAGCCGGGAGGGCTGGAGTGAATCCTGGGGCTGCCTGCCAGAGTCTTACACTTTTGCTCTTTATGCCAGGGGCTGGGAGGAGAGAGCCAGTGGTGTGTGTGTGTGGGGGTGGGGGGCGGGGGGGGGGTGGGGAGGCAGGCACTCTCCCTCCCGTCATTCCTGGAAGGCTCCTTCTTGGCTTCTACATAGGGCAAAGGAAAGTCGTCTTTTCTGAGCCCCAGAGATTCTGACCCAGTATGTGTGGGGAGGGTCTAGGTGTGTCAGCCTTCTTATCAAGTACGCCTCATTTTCTTTAAGAAATAATCTTACTCCTGAGAAAAAGAAGCAGCTCAGAGAGAGAGAGAGAGAGCTGGCAGAGTAGCCACAAGCATTGCCCTTCTCTGGGAAGAAACTAGCTTTAATAACTTCCTCATTGCCCTCTTCTTCCCTGTTGCTTCTCAACACCCAGCTCGTCCTCAAGTCCAAAAGGCACATGAGCTGTCCACACCCCCACCTCCATGCGTTAGGAGTGGGGCAGGAACAACTTATGTATATGGCGCCTTGCAGCCAGCCACATCTGCATTTACTCACTCAGAGGCCTCTCGTGTGCCCAGCACAGAACCAATGACCAGTGACACAAAGTTAAGTAAGAGAGGCACACAGGTGAGTGGGCCAGACAGAGCCGTAAGCCCATGGTGTGCAGGGAATGCAGTGGCTGGAGAGGGACTGATCCTTTCTGTGGGTTTTTGTGGGAGGCAAGAAAGGGAAATGCAAGAGCAGGCCCCCAGCAACTTGATTTCAGTGAGAACCCTTCCCCTGGTCTGTACCAGAGGAAAGTGATGGGGGAGGGCGTCAGCCGGTCAGCCCGAGGGCCATCCTGTGAGCTGGGAGCCACCCTCCGCGCTCGGGCTCTGCTCTCCCGGTTCAGACGTGCGCAGTAGAACTCAATTTGCACAGAGGGCCCAGACTAATAAATCCTCCACTCAATTGCAGTCCCCACAGTGCGTTTATAGGCAGCAGCTGACTTTTATCAGCTAGTTTGTTCTTTCATATAAGAGTTTTATGAGGGTCTCCTGAGCTGGCTCATAACGTGATGAAACGTCTGCAAAACTCAACCATAAATCCCCGGCACCTGCCAAGCGGAGGATGCTGTTTTCCAGGCACATTTTGTCCAGCTGGCGGCTCTGTCCCCTTGCCCAGTTTGCATTTTTGCACTTGTCTCTTTAAACTTGGATTTGTTTTTCAACTCTCTGCGGCCTCTTTAAAGGCAACTGAGAAATGAGGGGCAGGAAAAAGGAACTAGAAAGTTACGTCTGTGCTAAAAATTACCCCTGGCTTATGTCGCCCTGAAAGCTGGTTTGGATCCTTCCTGTGCAAGGGAGACGTAAGGCTTCCCAGCCACACGAACCCTGGGG